AAACAAAGCAACTGTAAGTGTGATTTGCTACCGAACTTTGTGTTCGCCGAAACACTGGGGTTTGAAGTACCGCTACACCAGTGTGTTATTCGTTCTATCCTGGGAGGAAATAATCCATTACCTTGGGTACTAGGAGGGGATTAAATTCCTTAAGGAAACACTGTGAATTCAGTGGGCTCGAATTTATTATTATTGTTTCATTACGTTAACTTATATTTTGCAGAATTAATATTTACAAATACAGCAATATTGACCGGGAATAACAAAGCATTGCTTAAATATGCAGATCTTGAGATTCTAATTGGTGCTATAGTGGGGCTTGTGGCAATAATAATCATTGCGGTGTGGATCTTATTGAAAAGGAAGGCTGAAATTAAACCCTCAAGTGGAAGATATAGTAAGCTCTCTACACAACAATCATAGAAAAGATCATTGTTCTGAATGTTTTAGCTTATACTAATTCTGTTTCCTGTTAGTAGTATCAGATGGATCTTACTCTGAAGAATCAAGCTATCGTAAACTATCACTTAAAGAAATTTACTCTGCGACTGACAATCTCAGTATGTCTAACTTCATAGGTCAAGGCATAGCTGGTAAGAACAAAATCGAATTATGTACTAGTTGGTTTAGTCTACTTATCGTTTATCTGTTAAAGGCACTCACTTGTATATAGATCGATTCCTTTTGAAAGCTAAATTTTGAAATGATCATGTTCTACAGGAAAAGTATACAAAGGAATTTTGGCAGATAGACAACATGTAGCAATTAAGCACATAATCAAGGATGAACAGATGGAAACATTTGTTAGAGAAGTTACAAGCCTCTCACATATCAAACATCCGAACCTTGTATCCTTGCTAGGCCACTATGATGGACCAAATGAGTGTTTTCTAGTTTATGAGCTATGCTACAATGGAAATCTTTCTGAATGGCTTTTTGGTAAATTTTTTTTTACTCTTTGAACATTTCTGCTCTCTTTTGACCTGAATTGTACTGTGTCCTGATTTCTACACACTAATTGAGCAGGTAAAAGTAAATATCTTTCGTGGAGACGAAGACTAGAAATTGCACTTGATTGTGCCCGCGGTCTCCTGTTTCTCCACTCGTATCCTCAAGGCTCCATCGTTCACCGGGATATCAAGGTAAAATCCTATTTTACATCCATAATCTGTTCTCCATTTTCTAAATATTCTCAGTTATGTTTCTCTTTTTTGGTGAAATTTGCAGCCAGCAAACATTCTTCTATCTGCCAGCTTTGAAGCCAAACTCTCAGACTTTGGTTTGTCCAAAATTATTAGCATTGGCCACTCTTATGCTAGCTCAGAAGTGAGAGGAACCTTTGGTTATGTTGATCCTGAGTACCAAAAGAACCGACACGTTAATTCTTATGGTGATGTCTATAGCTTTGGGATAGTGCTGCTACAACTATTATCTGGACAAAGGGTTATCAACTTGGATTTGCAGAATCCAATGCCTCTAAGTAAAATGGTAAAAAATAAATACTCTCTCCTCCATCCTCCCAGAAAGTTATCTTCTCTTGTATTTTTTTCAACCTTCCTTAATTTAACATATCGTTTTGAATCTTAGGCGAAAAACTTGACTAAAGGTGGGAACATCAAAGAATTTGCTGATCCCAAAATGCAGGGGAAATTCTCAATGGAGGCTTTTGAACTTGTACTTAAGCTAGCTTTGGTTAGCATAGGGCTTAAGCAGCAACGGCCATCCATGGAACAGGTGGTTGTTAAACTCGAAGAGGCTCTTGATTTATCAACAAGAATTGAGTCAGACCATCTTTAGTGCATATACACTTTATCTGGTTAAGTCCAGATTGAATCTGATGAACATAATAGCTTACGTACAATTCACTTTTATTTAAAAGCCTACCCAAGATCAAAGGCGAATCAAGCTTTTATAGTCAGTGAATTCAAAATGAGTTTAATACACGAGTATATATTTTTTCCGCATATGTACTGTCATGGGCTGCTTTCCATCATCGACCCATGACCCCTTGGACGCGCCCCGTGGCGTCC